GGAGTAACATGTCCTGGATATGAGCGGTGGAATGTGTGAGCTGAGAGGAGTTGCTGGAGAAAAGCTGCAGGACTGATAAGTCTGGTGGGTGGGGAGAAAGTGGGATGGATGCAGGGAGTGAAGGAGGAGGGATGAGGGGAGCGCAGTGGTCTCGATCAGATGGGTGGGCAGGGGGTGAAAAAAAAGGAGGAGGGCACAGAAGTTTGACATACTTAAGACAAAGACCAGGACTTGTGAGCTTCAGTCTTTTCTGCACATCACCAGCAAATCCATTGGAAAATTAAGGAAAACAACTGTGAGCAGAAAATACAAGAGCAGAAACTGGAGAGATAAAACCAGGAAACTGCACTAGGGGGAAAAAAAGGTCCACTAAAATAATAAAAACAGTTTGTTGAAGTGACAGTGAGTCTTTAGAGGAGCGAGGGATCTGAAGACGAGGAGCAACAACCTGGAGGAGGAACAGCAAGAGGTCCAAAGGGCCCAGCAGCACAGCGTGAGTAGAAGCATCTCACCGACACTCAGATCACATCCTGACTCCACAGATTCCCTCTGAATGTGAGAAACAGGCTTATTCCAGCCGGCAGCTCCCACATTACACAGCAACACATTCAAAGAACAACAGAGAACTCTATCAGAAGATAAGCCTGGGTGTGCTGGCATCACCGCTACTCTCCACAGTCAAATATAATCACATTCTGAGGTTTTTCAACGCGCAATAAACAAGTTTATACACAGTTTACACACAGTTTACACACAGTTTGTACACAGTTTACACACAGTTTGTACACGCACTGAGGTAGATTTGATTAAAAGTCATCTCCACAACAAATTAAGCTGATTGGAAACCAAAAATTACAAAAAGAAAATAAAAATTTTCTTATTCAAGTTAAATTTTTAGCTCAACATTTGATCAATTCACTAGTTTTCTGTGGGCAAATATTTTCCATGCTGTTGTGATAGTAAAACACTGCCTCACACACATTCATACGTGCTCACAAAAAACATTTCACCTACAAAAGAATCATTGATTAAATCAGCCTGACTGCTTTTAATTTTAATGATTCTTTGTTAAAATGTAATATAAATATCAAAATAACGTATAAAACACTTAAAAAACTGATCTAATGGATTTAATTTAAAAAACATGTCAACTGAATTCAGTAAAGGTATCCTTTACTTTAACTTTACATTGACTTAAAGTCAGTGTAAAGTAAAATGTGTTACCTGTACTCAGTTTAGTTTTTTAATTAAATGCATTATATTTGTTTTTTGAGTGAAGATGCATTAAACTAAAGAAAACAATTTGTCAGTTTATACAAACCAAACAGATTATATTAGGAAAATATTTCACAAAATTATTATTATTATTATTATTATTATTATTATTAAAAAGACGACTCAGTTTGAAGGCTGTGGGAATATTAGCAGAGCTGATAGACAAATATATCTCTTTAAAAAACAGTTTATGTTCGCAATTTGTCAAAACTCCTGGTGATACTAATATTCTGACATGGATAATGTTTGTATTTTACAGCCAGTGCCAATATTTAGAAATCAGAGCTGATCGATCTATTTTAACAGATGGATTTTCTTAGTAAGCTTTAATTTACAGAATTTACAATAACTTGCACACACAAGTGTATATTGTATATCTATAAAAATAGAAGAATTCTCACTTCAAAAGTCTGCTGCAGCTTCTTTTTCCTGCTTGGACAAGTTTTAATTAATTTACGTTTAAACACAAACACTTAGCGCATCTCTATTTTAAACAATAAACTAAAACTAAAAATACTGACCCAAGTTGCCATGTTGTCTCTAACAGAAGGCATCAGGTGCTGTCATTTGTTTTCCCTCCTATTTTTGTGCCGTTACTCAGCTGCTCTCTGCCTCTGGTGACCTCTGAGAGGTGAGGATATCCTGCAGCAGAAACAGCTGCTCATCACTCTGTCCAAACCCACGATGACCAACAACTGAAAGAGCCTTGGGTCAAACCGGAGCCGACTGGCATCAGATTCAGACAAGAAACTTGTTGCTGAACTTGCAGAAATCTAATTTCTTTACCTCGTTTGTTTCATGATATCAAGAAATTTTCAATTAACATGAGAAAATAAAATGTGATTTTGTAGTAAATGTGGAAAATTACAGGATTTGTACGCCACGCTGCTGCTAACCATGCAAAACAAACTGTCAGACTTTGATGCTACACAAGCTACAAAGAGTATTTACGGTCCCTCCCCTCCTTTCTTCTTCACTTATCAGTGGGCTGATAATCTTCACCTCACAGAAAGCATCACACAGGGCGGCCATTTCCTTCCAGATAAAACATCTATCCCCTTTCATCAACCAAAAGTTAATATTCATTGAATAGTTGAGCTTACTTCATTTTATTGGCTTATTTTTTTTTATAAATTTACGCCCCCAACTCATCAACCATCACAGTGCTCACATAAATTAGCTGACTCAGCATGGCCTCCACAGATAATCCACCTTAAAGTGCCTGTGACGTCAATTTTTTTTAAACACATGGATGCTTTTTTAGAAAGAGGACATTGATAAAATATTGCAAAATAAATTTCATGTCGCTGAGGTGAACGTTTGTTGAGATATTTGCCTGTGAAGTAACAGGAAGTGATGTCAAAGGGGAATGTTTGCACGTGAACATTGATAATATGGCTGACAACCCAGCCTGTAGAGAATAATCTGATGTTTCTTTAGATTATCTCGAGTCACTATCAGAGATGACGAAGTGTCAGAGTTCAAATAATATTGTTTCAATAAACAAAGACCAGAGAGTTTTATTTGTTAAAGAATTCCCCTTTGATGTCACTTCCTGTTTCACTTTGGCTGAGCCAAGTTCGAAAGAAAATATGCCAGTTATGTGACAAAATAGGTTAAATCATGTGTATTATTCCATTTTTCTTAAATATAAAGATGCTTTCTTTGACTTTTTGTGTTTGAAGAATATGCATGTCACAGGCACTTTAACAAAGACAAAAAGGTTCAGACTCAGTCAGCTCTATAGATACTAAGGCTGGGTGATATTTTAATAACGACATACTGGGATATACACGTGTTCAGCATTGATATAATATCTATAATTTCACTGGTTATGCTAACGGTTCATAACTTTCAGATAAAAAAAGGCTAGGACTTCTCGGCTAAACAACACAAAGCCAAGAATCACCTTCAAAATAAAAGCTTCAAGCTGCTCATTGACAACAAATGCTTGCTAAAATATATACTTCTCACGCTTTATTTTGAAATGTGTATACTGGGGTGTCTTTCTCCCTCTTGGTGGCACATTCTAGTGATAGAGTGCTAACTTGGTCCACCATCGCAGGGTTTCCCCTAAATGTGGTTCCACTCTGGTCCGGTCCGGTCCGGTCCGACCTCCGCAGCCGTTATAATCAATGAGAGTATTTAAACCGGCTCCGCACAGCGGCAGTGAGCGAACAGTGATCCCCCAAAATTAGATTTGATCCTATTTTTTCTGGAGCTGCTCTGGAGTCATTCTACAAAGATGACGTTGCACCAACAGGAAAAGGAACAAGCACAACATCCGTATTTTCAAAATAATTCACCAAAGGCAGACTCCTTTTGTCACTAATCCCAGCTGTATTAATAAATATATGGATATATTTCTGTGCAAATGATGTCCAAATGTGTTGTTCTGTTTGGGAAGCAGATGGCAACATGTAGTGTGTCATATGTACACACATGATACACAGGGATTTTATTTTGAAATCAGAAGTTTCAGAAAGACAACAGTGATGTAGTTTCCACAGAATTAATTAATTTGCTCTGACTTCCACATTTATCACTGGATGTTTCCCTCCACACAGTTCACCATGAGTGTGAGCGGGACCCTAGACAAGGGCGCGCACCATCAGACCCTGGACCTGTCTGAGGAGCTGCCGCCTCACCTCCACCACCACTCCAACCACCAGCAGCAGCAGCTTCATCTTCATCACTCCAACTCTCTGGCCTCCACCGCGGCCGTGGGCGGAGGCCGGGAAACGCCGTCACGCGTGGTCATACCCCCGCCTTATTCTGCGGCTGAGAGCGGGGGTGGGGGCAGCGAGGCCCCCCTGGAGCTGCGGGGCTCGCTGGACTGCTGGGCCTGCTCGGTGTTGGTGACGGCCCAGAACCTGGTGATCGCCGCCATCAACGCCTGCCTCGCCGGCCTGGTGTTCGGCACCATCCTGACGCCGGCCACCGTCATGGTCGTGTTCGGCTTTCTTTGTCACTCTACGGTAAGAAGCGAGGATTGTGGAGTTTGTTTTAATCATTTACAGCGGGTAAAATAAGTATTGAACACGTCACCATTTTTCTCAAGTGATCCATACATACAAAGAAATCAAACCATAAATGTCCAGAAATGAAGTTATTTGTAATAATGTGGAATGGCACAGGGAAAAAGTATTGAACACATGAAGAAAGGGAGGTGTAAAAAGGCATGGAAAGCCAAGACACCAGCTGAACTCTCTCAGTAATTAGAAAGCAAGCCTGCCCCTTGTCAGTGCAAGTTAATATCAGCTGGTTCAGTCCCAAATGATGGCCAGGTATCACACAAGAACCATCTGATGATGGGTAAAAGTAAAGAGCTCTCTCAAGACCTTCACAACCTTATTGTTGCAAAGCATAATGATGGCATCGGTTACAGAAGAATGTCTAAACTTCTGAAGGTTCCAGTGAGCACTGTTGGGGCCATAATTCAGAAGTGGAAAGAACATTATTTCACCATAAACCGACCACGACCAGGTGCTCCTCACAAGATTTCTGACAGAGGAGTGAAAAGAATTATCAGAAGAGTTGTCCAAGAGCCAAGGACCACTTGTGGAGAGCTTCAGAAAGACCTGGAATTAGCAGGTACGTTTGTTTCAAAGAAAACAATAAGTAATGCACTGAACCACCATGACCTGTATGCACGCTCACCACGCAAGACTCCACTGCTGAAGAAACAGCATGTTGAAGCTCCTTTAAAGTTTGCTGCACAACATTTAAACAAGCCTGTGTAATACTGGGAGAATATAGTCTGGTCAGATGAGACCAACATTGAACTGTTTGGATGCCAGAATACACATCATGTTTGGAGGTCAAATGGCACTGCACATCAGCCCAAAAACACCATACCAACAGTGAAGTTTGGAGGTGGGAACATCATGGTGTGGGGCTGTTTTTCAGCATATGGTACTGGGAAACTTCAAATAATTGAAGGAAGGATGAGTGGAAAAATGTACAGAGACATTCTTGATAAAAATCTGCTTCCATCTACCAGGATGATGAAGATGAAACGTGGCTGGACATTTCAGCAAGACAATGAGCCCAAACACAAAGTCAAGGAAACTCTCAGTTGGTTTCAGAGAAAGAAACTAAAGCTGCTGGAATGGCCCAGCCAATCACCTGACCTGAATCCAACAGAAAATCTATGGAAAGAACTAAAGATCAGAGTTCATTGAAGAGGTCCACGAAACCTTCAAGATTTGAAGACTGTTTGTGTGGAAGAATGGGCCAAAATCACACCTGAGCAATGCATGCCACTAGTTTCTCCATACAGGAGGCGTCTTGAAGCTGTCATTGACAACAAAGGCTTTTGTACAAAGTATTAGATAAATTTCAGTGAGTGTGTTCAATACTTTTTCCCTGTGCCATTCCACATTATTACAAATAACTTCATTTCTGGACATTTATGGTTTGATTTCTTTGTATGTATGGATCACTTGGGTTGTTACCGACATCTGGTGAAAATTTCATGTCATTAGCACCTCTAGTAATATATTTACTGAGAAAAATGGTGACGTGTTCAATACTTGTTTTACCCGCTGTATCCCCTCTCACCTTCAGAGTCGAGCAATAAAAACATAAAGGAAAAAGCAGGAAGACGACCACCTCCATCGTTCTTATGAAGCATCTAGAAGACCTAATCTCATAACTTTGATCCGGCAGTTAGTGCTCGGGGCTTAGGGTGGAGTTAGGCTCTGTGTCTGATGAGAGATTTTATAATCAGAAGTTCAGGAGATGGTTATCTGGAGGGGCCAAGCAGTCAGGAGCTGAAAGAAACAGACACTTTGCTGCACAAACGCTTGTTGGCCTCTTGAAGATTTGAAAGATTTCTGATGAAAAACATGATTAGAAGCAACGCCTCCATGAAGGTGATGAATATCTGCCTGGCCTGTTCTTTAGTTAGTTTTTAGTTATTACAAATCAGAGTTTTGACTACATTTCGGTGGTGTTCCTGCAGGTCGACGACCTCTTTAATGACCACCAAGATTCTCTCTGTTCTCTCATGAAAACACGTCATGTGACAGCAGCTTAGAGGGGATTAACCAGGCTCTGACGTGCTAAAGGAGGAGCAAGAGAGCAGGATGCTTTGAAAATTAGGGAATAAAAATGAGTGCTAAGGATTTTAAACTTAAATGTCAACACTTTCAGATATTTTACATACTTGTTCAGATATAAATACAATAAAAAGTACCTCTTTAAAAAGAAGTAAAAGGTAAAATCTTATCTTAAAGGCATCCATCCAGTTCAAATCAAATCAGGTTCTCTATCCAAAACCAGTTTACAAGCTGTCAAACAGAGTTGAGTAAAACAAGTCAATTTCAAAACTATCAAATTTGATGTATTTGTAATTACAGTAATTATAAAACACCGAAGGTTAAGTTCAACCAGGGACGTCAAATTCGTTTTTACCAAGGGCTGGTTGTAATTAACTTCAGTGTTTCATGTTTAGCTTCGACTCAACATCACATTCCTTGTCTCGTTGCTACAACTGAACGCAGCTAATAAACAATAACTGAGCTCTACCTGGTTTTTCCTGCATAGAAACAGTGTCCTCATAAAAACAATGAAAAGTAATACATGTACGGCTGGCTAAAAGTGAAATAAATAATACAGAAATACTATTATTATTCGCTGTTGAGTTGCATCAAGTCTAGAATTCTGAACTTTCCCACTTTCCCACAGGGAATTCCCATCCATAATCAACATGCATTATGGGAGATGTAGTTTATGGTCAATGCTGGCTTTAAAGCAGCTTATTTTGAGACATTAAAGGGGACGTATTCTGCAAAATCCACATTTTTAGCTGTTAAATACATTTTGTTGTGCACTTGGCGTCTCTAGGAGGCAGAAAAGTTTAGTTTGGTTCTAGGACATTTATCCCCCACCAACAGCTAGTACTGTCAATCAAGAGTTTCAGCCCATGTCCAGGGGGTAAGTGTCCTAGGGGGGTAAATGTCTGGGGAGTAAGTGTCCTGATACCATTAAATTTAGTCTCTCCTGGTGTGACAAAGATATCTTTATATTCTGTTTGGGTCAGATTTTTTAGCCCGTTCAGTCTTCTCTACTTTCTGTGACATTTTCTGAACTATTAGTCAAATTATCTGGTTTAAAATTGACAAATAAGCTCTGGACAACAATTTTCTTGTCTTAATTCTCCTCTGGTTCTGGCTCTGGGTCAGACTCTGGTTCTGGCTCTGGGTCAGACTCTGGTTCTGGCTCTGGGTCAGACTCTGGTTCTGGCTCTGGGTCAGACTAGCTCCAACATGTAAGGCTGGATGGACAAGTTTTCTGTTGATGACGTCTTTCAATAAAATTGTAAATAAAACGTTTCTGAATGATAGGAAATGTGAAACCCCTCTCTCGAACTGGAGTGGACCGGTCTGGAAGCCGGAGGGGAGGGGGGCGGGGCTTGAAGCGCCTTAAAGGAACAGTAACAAAACCAGCTGCTTTGAGACACAGCAGAAAAGTTACACAAAGTTACAATAAGGAGGAATGCAGACCAAAGTATTGTAGTTCCACTTTATAAAGACCCCAACTGAAGGATTTAAATGTGAAAAGGAAGGATTGTCTACTTTAATGCAGGGATATTCAAATAAATTGCTCAGCGGGGCATAGTTACTCAAAGCCAACAGCTCAGGGCAAGACAAGTATCATCCTTCACATTTTAAATTTGTTTATTTTGTTCCATTGATGTATTTTTTTCACATTAAATTAAGATTGAGGTCTTGCGGCCCACGGGCCTTGGGTTTGACAGCTCTAAACTCTACTTCCTTCTCTTTGCTCGTGGACTCAGACCATCCCTCAGTCTGATAAGGATGATTCAGGCCATCTGTTCTTCTCCCACATTCAGATCCTGATCTGTTCACCTCCGCTCCCACTCCCTCCATTAACGCTCAACAAGTGGTCCCAGCTCGTACTGCTCAGTCAGCACAGCTGGTAATCATACAGTGGTGTCTACCAGGGTAATTCAGTTTATTTGGTAAACAGAAGTCTCAGTGGATGCTAATGTGTATCAGTGAGTGTTTTATTTCTGTCCTCACCTCACAAACATGCCACACAGGATGCGTCACCTCCTGCTTTTATCTGCTCCCTCGCTCGCTCCAACAAACACATCAGGAGCTGTTTTAATGTCTGAAACAAAAGTCTGTCTTTAATGAGTAAAATAGTTAACATACCACTTTTCACATCCTTCCTCTCCGCAGGTCCGCCCCCACGGCACCACGCCCTACTGCTCGGACCTGCTCACAGACGGCGGCTGCGTGGCCCTGCTGGTGGTGGGGTTCCTCCTGGTCACCCCCCTGCTGGTCCTGGCGCTGGCCGCGTACTGCCGCCTGGCCCGCCACCTGCAGCTGGGCCTGTGCTTCATCCCGTACAGCCGGGCCGTGTACAAGAACCTGCCGGCCACCCAGCACCGCGGCCTGGGCACCGGCTGCTGCGGCGGGAGGGACGGAGGCGACTACGGCGGGAAGGGGAAGGTCTGGGTGTGAGGCAGGAGGTGGGGCGGGGGGACCGTTAGTTAAAACTTATAAAAAGGGAAGATGAACAAACAGGAAGTAAATAAAACATCTAAAGGCTCAATCCCATTTCACACATTCCCTCTACAGTTTGTGACTTGAGAGGACCAGAAGCTGGAAGTTGAAGCCGTTTAAAACGAGCGCCCCCTGGTGGCTGCTTGCTAGCTATTAAGTCCCGCCCCTTTATATAAACTTACTGGATATTTGCCTCAATAAAAAATAAAAATACACTCAGATTGTTTTCAACTGTTGGTTTTTGTTGATTCTTAGTTCTCACCTTGCTGCTGTTCAAACGTGTATTTTTATGAACATTGAGGACTGTCATATTTTATAATTTCATACTTTCCTTATGCTATTCTGTTCTTGTTTTCAAACTAGTTTTGGTTTTCTTTTCTCATATATGTAGATTGTTCAAGTTTAAGTTGTTTTTAATAAGGGTCAGATCTTCTTTCTGCACCCTTTTCATTTAATAATTGATTTACTTTGTTTTTATGAATGAAATAAATGACTAAATATACAAATATTAAGGGTTCACCCCAAACCTTGTGTTTGTATGTTCTGACTCCAACGCAATCCAACATGACAGAGCACAAACCGACAATCTGGAGCCAGTTTTGAACAACGGGGGATGGCAGAAACATTTTGTTCATCTCTGTTAATGTCAATATGCAGCCCTGTGTGTTTCATGTAGCATCATTTATCCCTAACAAGGAAAATAAATAAAGAAAAGGCAGCCTGGACTCTCCCTTAAGATTTCTTAGTGTAACACCCATGAAAATGTTTATCATTTGTATGCATTGAATTTAATTAGTTTCAACCTTCTTCAGAAAAAAAAAACCAAAAAATAAATAAATCACATTAAGAAACTATGCAATAACCCAGATTTTTAATCCTAGCTTATGTTGGGTGACTTTTGTCCTCTCAAATAAGGTTCAGAGCATCTAATCAGTTCTTTAAAGTAGAACAAGAAGCATCTTGAAGGCAATGACTTTGTAAAATTAATTGTTTTTTACTTAGTTCCGGAGCTGCTTACATAAAAACGTGTTGCATTAACAGATTCTGGCTTCTTTAAGGGGTACCCCAATTTATAACAGGACTCTTAACCCCTCAGCATGACTTCATTAAAGGCTAAAGGATGCTGGGAACACTGGGAAATGGGATTCGAGCAAAGAAAAACAACAACCTGGATATCTGTCTGAGAAGAAAATAAAATCAAGATTCCTCTGTTGCTTTCCTAATAATTATATTTACTATTACTGTAACTTCTTCTGTTTTCATTCACAACAAAACGTTAAGCAGCAGACATAAAAAACAAGGTGAATCCCACAAAGTTCAAATAAATAAATATTATATAAATTAACTGAACTAAACTGCAGATTCAGAACAAAAATATTTGCTTGATTTAAGGCAAAAGGCAAAACTCAACAAGTAAAAAACAATAAAAACTGGACTCACAGCCGACTGTAACTTTCCTGAACAAATCACAGGAAAAAGGAAATCTGAAAATAGCACCAAGTGATGACACAAACCATATTTGTCTCTCATCACGTTTATATGATCATGAAAAACACTGATGCGTCAGATTTAAGTTGATGCTTGTCTTTGTGAAAGTTTCATTGTTTCTTTTTGTATAAATAAAGTTTTAGAAGTTTGAAATTATTTGTTTCGTTTTAAAGAGTTCTGATAAAAGTTTGATACTAGATTAAAAAAAAAAGGTTCATTCAGGGGTTGGGGTGTCCTTACAGACGTGTGTGTGTGTGTGTGTGTGTGTGTGTGTGTGTGTGTGTGTGTGTGTGTGTGTGTGTGTGTGTGTGTGTNGTGTGTGTGTGTGTGTGTGTGTGTGTGTGTGTGTGTGTGTGTGTGTAAAAACATTTCCTGTTTCTCTTACCAGAACAATCTGATTGTAACAGCTAAACAATGCTTATGGAAAAAAATCCACTCTGACACATTATTACATATAAATTCATCATGTCATCATGTCTTTGTCTATAATCTGAGATGAAATCACGAGCTAAACATCACCTGCAGTGAGCTTCACAGTGTGACTTCTGTCGCCCTCAAGTGGACAAAATAACAGAAAAACAACGTTTATATAAAACGAGTTTAAAAAAATTAATGTCTTAAAGGCACAGCTTTATTTTTAAGATTTCAAGCCCTATTCCTGAATGCAGCATTTTGTTTACTCTGTGATTTTTAAACATTTTTTCACAACTTTGCATTGAATACATTAACAGTTTAAATATTTTTATATTTAAAAGAAAAACAAAAACATGAAAAATAATTTATTGTGCTGATTACAGTCCAATCCGTACATCAAACAAATAAACAACCAATATACTTAAGTGTTATAACTGCATTTAAGGGAATTTTTTTAAACTTTTTACATTTTACACATAGCTTAGAAAAACTACTCTTTATAATATATATAAACCTAACATTAGAACGCTGCAGTGAACTCTGCAGCACTGATTTATTGACCAAGTCTCTGGCGCCATCTACTGGACAATGACGGGAACTAAGTGGTATCGATCCGAAGCTCAGTAAATACAGAATCAGCGTCCCTGAAATGAATCCGATACCTAAACTTTTAAAGGCAGCAACACGAATGCAGGAACAGCTAGAACATAATAAATAAAAACATTCAAGTCTAAACATTAAAAAAAATCTTTTGGACATTTTTATAACGTTAAAATGAAGCTAATCTAGCTTTTTGAGTTTGAGGCTATATATTTTGCTCAAACTACTCAGACAGTAAGTTTATCAAATATTTACGTTTTAAAACTAAAATCAGTTTGGATAACGGGACATTTGGACATACATTATTCACTGTGATGAATGTGTTTATAATCCAACTTGTTAGCAGACTCACCTTCCACGATGAGGCCAACAACAGCATGATGTCAGGAAAAAGGTTATTAATTGATAAAAAAAAAACTGTTTTTCACATAGGTTTGATAAATACACTATATAGTTGATGAAAACAAAGTTAAACTTTGCTGTTCGTATAATAAAAATGACATTGTCAGGCTAAAAGTCTAATTAAAAGCCTAAAACACACCTGTGCGTCAAGGAGCCGGTGTTGTGCCAGAAAATGTTCCCCCATTCATTGAAGAGCTTTTCAAAAACGGAATGACTTTAACTGACTTCCTGTTTAAGGTTCTGTTTTATTTAAAGAATATATTATTAGGTAATCGTGGCTACCAGCAATTACTTTTATTTATGATTAAAGTTTGTAATTTTAGAAACGAGAAAAATCAAACAAACTGATTTAAGATATAGATGTAAATATTTTAATTTTTTTGTATAATAATTAAAGCAAGAAAATTCACATTATATTAATTCTAGTCCTGTTCAATGGTCACACTTGAAAAAGATTTACCTGGTTGAATAACCAAGATTAAAAAACAAATATTAGTGGCTAAGTTTTAGCCTCTGGATGGTTTCAAATCAAAATTTTATAAAAACAAACATTAGTCATCACGTCCCCTTTAGCCCCAAAATAACAGAATAATCACCGCCTGATTAAAAAACAAAAGTATTTAGTTATCATAAATGAACTTGTGTGTTGGAAAAAAATGTGCAAATAAATATTAAAATCATTGAGACCCTGCTGTCCAGAATTACAACATTGCCCCTAGCTGCAACGGAGACCGCCCCACAGAACTACAGAACCAAAGAAAAACTGCTGATCTGTGTCCAAACCAGGAAGAAAAACACAACCAAGTTTATAAATCTGTGGCTTAAAGCAGGAAAACTCTGATATTTCAAGGGTCAGGTCAGCCACATCCAGTAGTGTCAAAACTAATAAGCTTTTTACTCAAAAGTATTAAAGTACTGGTTTTAAAACTACTTAAAGTATAAAAGTAATGCAAAGGAAAATAAAAGAAATTAAGTACAAAAGCCTTACCTCTCCCTAAAATACTTTTCTAAAGGCCACATTGACGACAATCTTATTCTTAATCTTATTAAAATGATAAAATCTGGGATGAAACCTCCTGTTTCAGCTACATATTTCCATGTCATGCCACACAGAATGATATGTTTATACGTCTCATCCAACCACAGTCAAATTCACTTTATTCAGAAGGCCTGATTTTTTAAATGTAGACAAGCTGGAATGAAAAATAAATGAAAAACTAAAAAAAATTCATCTGAAAAATAATTACTGCAGTAAATAACCAAAATTTTTACTCAAATAGATTAAAGTGTTTGTACTTTGTTCTGGTCCATGTTGTGTTCTCTGATCATTTTTTTTCAAAGTTTTTTTAAAATTATTTTTAACATAAATCACAAACAAAGAACAAACTAACAAAAAACACCCCCCACCCCACCTATAC